TCCTGTCAGGAGCTGTGCAGAGCCAGAAGGTCTCCCCTGAGCCTCCTTTGCTCCAGGCTCAGCACCCTCAGTTCACTGGGATTCATGGTTATCTTAAGCCCTCAACTAACACACAAAAAGAATCAACAGAAGAAAGGACCAACAGAAAATCTCTGCATCAAATCCAGGCCTGCTCAGCAGCTGTACCTCTCTTGGGAGCTTTGTCAGAATTCTCCAGAATCTCCATCTTCTTCCCCAGCCTTTCAGCAAGGTTGCGCTTTAGTGGAAGGACACTTTTACCAGCTTCAGAAAGAGAGAAAACAAGAAATAATTGAAGAACATTTCCCTGGAGGAGGATTTGAGAACAGTCAGCCACCAACTTCAATTCTTCCAGGTAGATTTTTGTGTGTTTGCCTTTCGGTTGTTAACCAAACCTGCCATTTCTGCAGTCACTACAGATCTCTGCTGAAATGTATTCTCCTCCCACACAGAGCAAAATTACCCTTAAATACAGTCACGTTTAGATGAGGGCACCTAAACAACAGCTCACAAAATCCTCTCACCTACAGAAGCCTTCCGTTTCCCCAGCCTCTCAGGGAGATTTATTCGAACCACAGGCTCCTCCACTGCAACAAAGAACAATTTCTTCAGTGCACAGAAACCAGCAGCCAGTAAAACCATTGTCCTTCTTGCTTGTGTCCCCCAAAAACTCTCTTGGTTGCTGAACCACGTGAACTTTTCCTACAAGTAAAAGTGGCTGGACACGGTTTTCCCCTTTAAAAGGGTTTTGTGCAGATTTAAACAGTCAAATTAAGCACATTTGAGTCTGTAGGATGGTGGTATTATATTATTAGCTATATCTTAATGTTGGGCTGATAGAAAAAAAAACACTTATTGATCTTTTAATTCAACACAACAAACAGAACACCTACAAATGACACACCTTTCTGGTACCACCAGGGCTGTTAAGCATAAAAACATGGTTTTAACTATAAATGGCAAAGCCAGACTAATATGAGAGATTTCTCAGCTATTTCTTCATCTTTCAGTCTAGGAGGCATGAAATGGAAACAACAGTACTGACCATTACCTTGCTTTGGAGCCAGAGTCACAGTCCTCACCACTGTCCGTACGTTCTCCTTCTCTGGCACAGGAACAGTCCGTGACTGGAGTGGATGGACAGTCACTCCTGAAGGACCTTCTGATAAGAGCAAGACAAACAGAAGGATGTTTAGGGGGGAAAAAAAAAAAAGAAACAGAAGAATTATCACAAAGACAAAACCCAATAGTTAGTTATTGCTGACAAACACACGACGACCAGTGCATGTAAATATTTCCCTCTGGTTTGCCCTTGGAATTCCAATTCCAAGGTTTTGAGTTTAAGGAAACAGGGCTTATGAAAAGGAGCTGAAGGCCCCCAGCTAAATGTGGCCATTTGCCCCTCAGGCAGCTCTCAGCTACAGTCATCTCCCTGCCTGAACCCAACAGGGCAAAAGAATTTCCTTTCTTTAGCAAATAATTGTATTCACCAATGCACAGACAGCAACCCAGGGAAAACCAGGAGGATTAAAAACAAACTAAAAAAAGATGAAGGTGAACAGAAGGCAGAAGGATAAGAAAGTAGGGGGTATTAACTCACCACCTTGTTTTTTTGTTTTTTCCTTTAGTTTCTTCAGTTTGATTTCTTCAAGCGTTTTTATGCCGAAGTTTAAATTGTCATCTGAAAACAGAAAAAACAGTTCATGAAAGTGAGGCTTAAAGGCACATGTTGAAGGGCACGGATCCTCAAGTTTCTTACAGCTCAGAATCTTTCAAAAATATTTCAAATAAGCCCTGTCAACACTCCCTACAAGTATCAAAAGCCACAGAAAGGAGGGTATTTTGGTAAAAAACTGGCACATTTCTTGACTCCTCTTCCCATTCTACATAAAAACTATAGTTTTAAGCATTTTAGTCCATCTACATGAGATTAGATTCCTGTCAGTAGACCACAATGTTCAAAGGACACATCTGCAGGCATTTGAACTCCAATCTGTGGCTCTGATCTGTTCCACAGAGGTGAACAAGGAGGCCTTCCCCTGTCTGACCCAAGGGGACACACAACATTATTAGACAGCAAGGAGCTGATGGGAATAAGTGACTCCATCCAGCTCCCCTGTGTTCCATCATCTTTTTAGAACATAGTGCTTTTGAGTTAACTGCCAAATTCTCTTTCCATTCCATTCCATCCTCCTGCTGCTGCTAGAGTACCTTGCTTTGTATTAGCACTGGATTTCCGGGTGGAAATCATCCGCAATCCATTATGGGATTCTGGTGCTGGTGGCTGGACAGGGGCTTTAGTTTCTTCTCCTTCTTCAGAAAGCTGGTCTGAAAGGCAAAAATAAACCCATTCAACTACAGAGTAGGGATTAGATGAGATTTCTCATATTTATGCAGCTCATACTGACTCGACAAACCTACGTAAGTAAAAGAGTTAACTGAGAAAAAAAGAAATGAGGACTCCAGAGTCTTGTCTGTAGCTTTAACCACTACACAACTCAGGTAATTCTCTGATTTACACATTTGCTTACAGTAGAAATGCTTTCAGTAAGTAAAAAATGCCCACCATCATCATCTTCATCATCATCTGCAGCATTGATTACAACTGGGGGATGTGTTGGACTTGGGACGTTTTCAGAGTTTTCCACTTTCATCACCCCCCTCATCTGGGGAGAGGGATTTGACTGGACAGAAAGTTTGTTTTGCTGCAGTGACATCTGAGCCATTTTCACATCATCTTCTGCAGACTCAGGTGGACTTGGAAGTGTAGCTGGAGGAAGAGGAGGAGCATCTGTAATTGGGCTGTCGAAAACTCTGACCCCAGTATTGCACTCAGATATGGCAGGTAACCCACCTGTCCACTGAATTTACAGCTTCCTAGCCCCCACCCCTGGTTACACCATGAACACTGGCTTCACTTCACACACAAAACTCTCACCACCCTGCCACCCAGAAAGGATTAAACGTGGGCAAAGCAAATCTGCAAGGCAAAGATCATGCAAAGCACAGAGCAGCTGAGCTTGAAAGGAAAAAAAAACAATGAAACACCAGAATTAGCTCCATTTAGCTGAGAGCCCTGCAGGCTTCTCCTGGCACTCATCAATGAGCAGCTACTTGATGTCTTCTACTGTATTGTACCCATTCACAACACTTAGAAATAACTCTTTAATGCTTAAAGCAAAAAGGGCCTAAGAGACTCACTTTTGCTGGGGGGTAGGAAGAGCCCGTCGACGTAACGTCCTTTGGTGTGATGAAAAGCACAGTTGGATTTCTGACAGCCCATAGGCTGGTTCTCCCAGTAGCAAGGAATCTCACTGCGTTTCTTCTGAAGACAGAGAGAAAGAAAAGCTTTAGCTTTCTGGTAAACACTCACCTTCAACTGGCAAAGAGGCAGTTTTCCATCACGCCAGAGACCGTTGAGGTGCTGAACCAGCATTTCAAAGGTTTATAACAATCAATAACAAAACGTGCAAAATTTATTCAGAGGGAAAAATGACTTCAATTGCCTAGGTTAGATCTATCTGAATTTATCTTTCAGAGCCTTAGTTCCTTCCCATCTTTTCTCTCTCCTGACCCTAGGAGGTCAGAACAATGCTATCTAAAGAAATTCAGGCTAGAACAGCCTCAGAGGCCACTATCAAGCCCAGCCCTCAGGAGGTTCCTGCAGGCTCCACCACCACCCTGCTCCAGCACACTTAAGCAGTCTGAGCAGCGTGGCTGCTTTTGCCTCTGTTAAGAGAATAATGTCAGCACCTAACACAACATCTTGCTGAGATATACCTAAGAAATTGCTATTTTCTTCCTCTCCAGTAACAGAAACCACTCTCATTTGAAAGCCAGCAAATCGATCCTACAAAAAGCACATGCAGTTTGCTTACAGCAGTGGAAAATCCATTCAGAGGTTTTGTTTAACACCTCTTGAGGCAAACACTCACATCGATTTCCATGTGTCTGAACTTGCAGACATTCCTGAAGCAGCGACCCTCCTGCCAGAGGGTGCAGACAGTTTCATTCCCCAGAGCAGCCTCACAGTGGCGGAAGGAACAGCTGTCACCCTGGAGTGAAACACAACAGGAAAGCCTTAAAAAAAGGTCCATGTTACCACAACTAGAATCTAATTGCTTATTAAATTAACAGAAATCTGCGTGTCTCCTTCCATTCCTCTCCTTTCTCTCTTAAATAAAAAGAAAAAAAACCCCAAACCTAAAGCACAAGAGCCCCAAACATACCTTGTTACACGTGGAATAGAAATAGAAGTAGCAGTCATCTCCTTGATTAGACATAATGGAGCAATTCTTCAAGCAAGCTCAGATTCTAAGGGTTCCCTCAACGAGGGCTTCCTCCAGTCTTGGCAAGAGCTGGCTTCACTCTTTCTTGGATTGAGTCTTCTACTGGCTTGTTGAGTGAAATCTTCTTTTTTAATGTAACCCTGAAGAAAGAAGTGAAGAATAATTAAGTAAGAAGGTTTTGACAGCCATTTTCTGTGCATCAAATTAGTCTCTTGAGAGGGGCAATGTCTTGAAATCACAATAACTACCTAAATATTAAGTCAGACTTGTGTAAAACTGGATGGGTTTTGTCTTCTGTGTCTTTAGTAATGGTTCTACACCTTGGAGTATAGAAAAGAAAACTACATGTGGCTACAAGAGGAGCTAGAGAGGCACTTCTTAAAGAACTGCTCACACTATTGAGTCATCAGTCAACAATTAACCACTAATAATCCCTATAAAAACCAACTGACACATTAAAGACCATATTCCAGTCACCACAGCTCTTCAAGTTCACATACCTGGACAACTTCAGCAAAGCTATTGATCTTCCAAGACTTCCAGTTAACTTCTCCTGTAGGCCGAACCAACACTGAATCCGTGAATTAATAATAAAGGGGTAGAAAGAATTTTCCTCCTCACATTGCCAAGGGAACCTCTCATCCACAATTCAAACACAGGATGCTCTTTTAAACATCTTACAACTAATGGAGGAAGCAAGTCCATTGGAATACTGTCAAGACTGGAGACAGCCAGGGTTAGTTAGCTCTTCCAAAAAAAAATAAAAAAAAACAGCCAAAAAAATAAAAACCAAAAAACCAAAAAATAAAGAACCAAAAAAACCCAGTGCATCTAAAGATGAGCTTGTGATTCAAAGAGGCTGCAAAAATGAGGCTCCATCTTCCACAGCCGGGCAATTTTTTTTTTAATATATTTTGTTTGTTTTTTTTTTTTTAATTTAAAATTCAGTAAGTTGCAATTTCTGGTCTTCAAGATTTCTTCACCTATTAAGAAAACACAAAAACCTTCCCCCATCTTTATTACCTGTACAGTAAAAAACATACTTGTGTGTATAAATACACAAATATGTAAGGAGATACACACATGTGTTTATACACACACCAAGAGCAGGAGATAAAAGTCAACAGGAGCGACAGCAAACCCAAGAATTTTGAGGCTATTTTTGCCACAAAGTCACTCATTTTAAGGAGAACTGGTTAAAAAATGAAAGCTCTACACAATATTTGGATGAAAATGCCTTGAAGGCTGATGCTTTCTAACACGAGTGACCCGGGGGGCCAGCACACAGCTATGCATACATATGGACATGCATACAGGAGGACCAGATCTATGGAGACAGGCGTGCACAGGAGGGGGGATGTGGGGGGAGATCCTTCCCCAGGACCACTCCCAGCCCTGCTCAGACACGTGGAGGTGCAACCAACAGCAGGAAGACAGCAGCTGGAGGGACAGCAAGCTTGGAGAGGCAGGGGGATGTTGGCTCGGCAAGTGGCGTGGCTGCATGAGACTGAGAATTCCCAATGATTTGGGGGATTGGAGGAAATAATTTGGGTTTTTTTGGAGGTGTTTGCCATCCCACGTTGTTCCCACATCCATCTATCCAGCATCATCCAGCGCTGAGAGATCGTGGAAGGGTCTGAAAAGATGGCTCAGGTCCAATCCAACAGCTGGGGAGGTTGGTTGTTTTTTTTTTGGTGCCATTGATTTAATTTAGCCACAAGCAGGTTTGGGATTTTTAGTTTGTTTTGGTTTTATTTGAAGTCAGATAATATGATTTTTTTTTTTTGAAGGATACTAAATGCCTTAAAACCTGCAACCAGACCAGCTAAAGTTCAAATTAAAGTGATTCTGACCTTTCACTAAAATGCTGCACATTTCTGTGCCAAGTATTTCTCATGTTGGTTTTTTTTTTTTCTTTTTGGACAAAACTGAATGAAAGAGTTCTTAAAAATTAATAATAAAAGGTTGGAACCTTTTACTCACACAAACACTAGTGAATTTTCCAGGATTTTTTTTTTTGGCAGGGAATTTTCCCAAATCTAAAATAAAGAGAGGAAAAGTTGGATTCTCATATTAGTTATTGGTTTTTTGACTGCTTGACAAAGGGAATAAAAACAAGTAGTTAAGTGCAAGGGTTCCTTTCCTTCTTCAGTATCCATGGGGCTCTATTCACTTTTGACCTTTAGCACCTTCAAAACCAGACTGTGTGTCATAGAGATTCCTACCATCTACTTCTAAAAATTACTGGTGCTCCTTCAGGTAAAAGTTTGACAAGAAACATCCATCCAAGGGCAGTTAAATCTAAATTTCAAGCCTGGTTTCTTCAGTTTGCACAAGCCAACACTTAAAGAGGTGGCAATCAAGGCTCAACTGCTTTGCTGAGCAGGGGCATTCAGACAGGAATTGGAAGGAATTCAGTCTAGAAAGCAACATTTCTTTTCCCTAGGAAGTTGTTCAGAATTTGAATGGAACTTGTTTAAGGAATGGGGAAAAAAAATAGCAAAACTTTTAAAGAAACACCCCACCCCCTGCAAAAAAAAAATTTAATAATTTTTAAACCCTCTCAAAGTTCTAAGCTCCAGAAAAGTCCTTTCCTTTTAAAAAAGGGCTAATTAAAGACTATTTTTTTAAAAAAACCTGGTGTCAGTTAACAGGGCAAACTGAGTGCTGCACAAAAATCAACTCCACTAACCCCTGAATGGCTGAATAAAAATGAGTAACTCTGGTGCACTCAGGTCTCTAATGGAAGCTGGTAAGAAGTTTAAACACTTTTTCCCCTCCAGTAAAGTTTTTGTACTAAGAGATTCTGAATTCATTTTGGAAAACTAAATAAAGTCATTCCAGAGGCAGTAGTGAGGGGTGAGGAAAACCATGCCAACAAGTGCCACAAGCTTTACCTGTGCTAAGGGAATATAAATAGTACAGTGGGATTCTGTCTCCTTTGTTTTACAAGCTTGTCTGCCTCTGTGCTGCAGAAACAGTCCCCCCTTCCCTGGTCTAACTTTCCTGATGTGCTTCCACTGAAGAGCAAGAAGGGAATAAAATTTACTCTGCAACCCCAACAACTGCATGAATTATTAGTGCACCTACCTAAGGGTACTTTTTGGTTATAAAGGACAAAGTATTTCACTTGCTGGTTGACTCTGTGCCTCTAATTTCTAACAAAAATATTAAAGAATGCTTAACATGCTTGTTTATTCCCCTTGCTAACACCCCTCATTCTCTGAATGGAAATCTAAAGCTGAGTTGCCCAAAGCTGAGGCAGAACTCTCCTAATTTCTACTTTTCACACTCTTTTTAGCTGTCAAATACTATTTAAACCTGGACCAGAGGCACGTTCTGAGGCTGGGGGGTGATAGCACTCAGACTCTCAGAGCAACACCCACGAGGGTGCCAGCCAAGGCAGCAAAGGTTAAAGGAGATGATGGTCTCAGCTTCCTCTCTCACCCAGTTGGGGTCACCTTTCACTGGGATCTCCAAGAGCCAGAGCCCTGAGCTGCCACCCCCACGAGGCACAGCTGCCCTTCACAGGCAGGAACAACTCTATCTGAAGATGTGACACTTCAGGCACCTGAATTAGAACGTTCTGCCTTAAGAGGAGAAGCAAATCAAACTGCTCCTGAAAGGGCTGGTGTTGCTCTAACTGCCAAAGAACAACCCTGAAGTGCTCATCAGATCAGACACTGCTTCAGTACAGAGCTGTCTGGAGCTTGACACATCAAGAGGCAGAAGGAGGAATCCTTCAAAGCAACCACAGCAGGGATCTAGTGAAGTGGCCAAGACAAAGCATTCAGACCTGAGCACACCACTCTGTAAAGGATCAGCTTCAAGGCCAGGACATTTCACCCACCTCCCAGCCCACCTTTCATCTGCAAGTCTGTCTGTGTGCTCTGCAGAGCCAAAAGGACCTGGCTGGTGGCAGCACTTGACTGAGAACTGCAGCTCCCCGTGAGGCCAAGACCCTCCCACCCCTCAGACACCTGGGACCACTGGAATGAGCTGGGAATAGCCCCAGTTTCCCCCCCCAGGAGGATGCTGCTCCACTTTCTGCTGGTTTCAAGTCACTTTTAACATATAAAAGGTAAAGAGAAGTTCACCAAGCAGCTATTTCCTGCTTGGAATGATCCTGTGGATGACAGTTTGAGTGCTGGAGTTGCAAAAGAATTTCAGGGGCCTCAGCAGTAGGAGTAAGTAAATCTCTTAACTAATTGCTAACCTGCTCTCAGTGCTCCTAGTCCTGAAGGATGGATTTTAAAACACAGGTAAGACCCAGCAGCTGGCAGCTAGCTCTGCATGCACAACATCAGCAGCTGGAAAGCCAGGGCTGAGGGGATCAAGGGAAAGCCACACAAAATTTGGAAGCTTGGTTCTTGTAGGACACTTGCTACTGCACAAGTTTTTGATTAGTGGGAGGGAACTGCCCCGTTTTCTAGAAGGAAACTTTGGCTGGTGCAGCACAGCTACCCTGGAGCTGCTAAACCACAGCTGGCTCTAGGCCTACCCACTGGAAAGACACAGCCCAACACATCACCTCTGTGGTGTTTGAACACCAGGAGGAGCACAGCAGGTCCCTCCAACTTAGCTGAGAAGCTCCAGATAACACATAACATTTGTCCTACTTTCTGGCATGAAAAGGCTTTTGACAGTGCTGCTTTCCTGAAGAAACTCCCTCCATCTTCTCCCATCCCTCCACAATCTGCTACTGCTGCAGCACAACAGCCGATGGCAAATCTCCTCCATGGCCAGGAATAAAACCCCTGGGACTCAGCACAATGCTCCACCAGAGCTGTCACCACTGTCCCCAGGTCACCCCCTGCCTTCCCACAGCTGAATTTTCACTCTGGAGCTGGCACACCAGGTGAACCCCAGCCCTGAAGTGCCACACAACAGAAGCCTTTGCTCTTCTTCCAGGCATCAGCACATCCTTTAAGAAGCTGCAGTCAAAGTGTCAATAAATTAACAAATTTTTGGATTAACAAATCCTTAACAAATTA